TGAATGACATTTCTAACAATATTTCCCTCAGATATCTCATTATGTACTAACGTCGCTTAGAAATGAGTATAATGAAGCTAGAATATAGCTAGACGATTTCATTAATTTCATTAATCATTTATTCCATTTCACGTTAGAAAACTACTCGAAAACATAAATGACGAGGAACTTCTTTTAGAAATAAATAAAAAAATTAATTTGTACCTCGTCATAATAGGATACTATATACTAAACGTGTCAGAGTTAATAGATTAAATTGATTAAAGTGATAGATAAATTTTATCGAAGTAAATCAAGCATTCACTCTACGAACTGAACATTCACATTTCTATCGTACTCAAATCGATTGAAACAAAATGACTATTGTTTATGAACATTTTCCATAATACGTTTTCAAGAATCAAATTAGCATCATAGATCGATGCTGAAAGAAACACAGGGAGCTCTGTAGTCGCGGTTGGAAACTAATCTCCTTGAACGTTTGAGCTCAATCATGGCGTGTTTCTATAGTCACGAGCCGCAGTTAGGGTAGGTCGGGCTTCGATTATATTTAGAATAGTCACGTCGTGTGTCTGACAGTCTATAGTAATATGTCCAATTCGAACCGTTTAACGGATTTACACGATGACCATGATCTAGACGCGGAGAGAAGTCGCGACCGATAGAATTGCACGAATCACTTCGTTCAAGTCTTCGAGTAAAAGCAATTAACCTCCCGCTGACTCTTGTCCTATTTCAATAAAAATTAATCTACTACCAATCATCCAATAAGGCATGTTTAAATTCAGAAACCGCGCATAACATAAACAAGTCCATTTCACGCACGAAAGCGCATTATTTCAGAACAGGCCGGGAAATTTTGTTCTTACGTTCGTTCTTAGCGAAGAATTAATATTCACGATCATGTTATGATCATTCGCAAGTTTTTCGTTTGAAAGGGAAACGAGTGTAAAAGAACAATTGCGGGTCGTTGTAAATATTTTCAAGAAATGCCAGAAAGGAGTACTCTCGATAATGCATCCTTTGTTCAAAAACAAGATTGTTCGAGCCTTTTTTTTCTATGTTGGAATCAATACCCTGAGTTACCGCTTTAAGACTAAAAATATCTTAAATTTCGCAAATACAACTGTGTTTATCCAATGTAAACATTCTAATCAATTGCGAAATCGTGTGTCGTCACCGGAGACCACTATGGCGTCACCGGAAATCTAGAACGACTCATCGTTCGACCTCCGTGCTAGTTAACATCTTCAACTCTCTCTCTCTCTCTCTCTCTCTCTCTGTACATGTATAAATTTCAAATGAAACACTCACAGTTTTATAATTGATTGAAATTTAATGAGGAACAAGAGAAAGAAAGCTGAGAGAAATGAAAGCGAGAGTGGAGGTTCGATTCAGAAAGGAATCCAAGTGGCGCTAGAATTGTTCCCGTTAGACCAGGCACCAGTCCGTCACACTAACCGTTTATTCAAGGCCCGTAGTTAGGGCAGGTTAGGACTTGGACTGCGCCCAGTTTGCATCAATTTAGATCTAACTGTTAGTGGCACTTGATCGGGGCGAATTTCATTCCAGAGAGGAGGAGGGGACGAAAGAACAGGGGGAATTGAAGAAACTGTTGCAACAAGGAGGCAAGCTCTAATTTTAGTGAATCAACAAGAATGCAATTAACAACCAAGTACCGTGCGATGATCGTCCCTGTCACTTGTTACTCGCTTTTACGCCAAGATCGCGTAATAGAATATGCAACAAACGAATCATTTTTGTTGACAAAGTTTATTTAAATCAATTAATTGTCGAATATTTAAAAGACAAAGAATACACGCGACGACACAGCCGTTGGATGTAAGAAACAAAGAAACAAAGAGGCGAGAATCGAATCAAAATGAATTGCAAAAGGCGATCAATGATAAAGGGAATTCATAAAACAAACAGAAAAAGAAAAATCAAACAAAGGAAATAAACACAAAATAATGTAAAGATTGTCCGATAATCGTTGACACGTATCGAACTTTGATATTCAAATAACGTATTACCGACCACTTGTGCGAGTCTCGTTTTGATAACGAACTGTTCTCTTGATAACTCCTCCGAACTCTTGTCTACTCGTACTACTTTCATTAATCAACTATCCTTGTTACATTAAACTTTCCGTTGAAAGTGGGAAACGATTTACTACGCGATGTTCAATTAATCATCCCATCCTCTTGCTTCTTGCACAACTGAACCAATAGAACTATCAATAGAATTGAACAGGTCAGAAAATAAAATACAGGTTACCACCTCCAACAAAAGAACAAATTTAGTAACAGAACAAGATCAATTTCACAAATTACAAATTACGTAATTAATTCGTACAACGTGAACTTGCAGTTCGATTGTCGAAATCTACTTGTCGATTTACTGGTAATTTTAATGAATTATTACGCAAGAGCACGCTCTGAGAAGGGGGAGAGATCTCGAGGAAAGGGAGGAAACAACGCGTTGTTTCATTTGTCCTCGTAGACACAACACGAAAATTCAACGAGAGGCACGATGACGTTAGATAATCGAAACAGAGAGGCAACGGTGTTGGTTAACGGGCTACAATTGAGGCAGGTTAGTCCCGATCTAGGTGGGAGCCGGATTAGGAAGGCTTGGTTAGGTACGTGTCCCTCTCACCTGTGATCTAACTTATACTTGCCGTAGACGTGAGCCACGTGTTCGATGGAACTGTGTGCGAAGACACGTCCACACGGACGATCGCTACTGTGTACATACGAGTATACGTGCCTGTCACACGGGGGTTAAACAGCTTTCACTCTCCGAGTGTTAGTGAGTCAACACAGCATGTCAGAGGAACGCGCTATATTCTCTGATTCAGTATCACACACCGATCAGGAGCGTATGTCTCAAATGTCTTTTAACTTCCCGCTGTTCTATTCAACTCGCAGCCACAGAATTGAATGAATCTTCGTTCGAACGAATATTAATAATGTGATCAAAGATGAGTCCAAGGGAAGAAGATGTTTCATCGTAGGAACGTTAAAGAGTAAAAAAAAAATTGAAATCTCTCGTTACTATGATATTCTTCTTTTTATTTGCCTTTTAAATGTCCAACTGCATTTATAAAATTTTATTATCAGTGCTATCGCAATGTGTCTTTGCAGTGTGTTGACTATGTTATTAACATAACATAACGTAGAACAATCAAGATGGTTCCTTATGTACGACGTACAACTGAACAGATAATATACCTAATTCCGTTTCGCGATGGTAAATATCCGTCGCTTTTATTGGACGAGAGGCTACACATGCGAAGCCTTAATCATGACCCTAATGTTCGCCATTTGTCGTTGGAACATGAAATTTCATGTTAGCCGGAGTAGGTATATTTGGCGCGAGGTTGAAGCCTGGTGTAAAATAGGACCGCATAGGATTTCATGGTGATCCTTGACTACAAATTTACTTTTGTTCTCTCCGTGCGGTTATAGCCTGCGATTTTACGACGCGGTTTCTTCGTGCACGCGTGCACGCATAATAAAGGCTAGGCCGAGCCTCCTCGTACTAACCGATAAAAATCCTTGATCCTAATGACGGGTCAACCGTGCCAATTGGCCATAGGAACGAGCCGATCGTGCCTCGAGGATACCATTGTCGCTCAATCCGACCATAAGCTTGTCTCGTTGTCGTCGTTCAACACGACGAAAATTTCTCTCCCTCTTTTCTCCCCGTCGTTATTTCTTCGCGAAACGAAATCCGTACCGGGACCGAGGGTCGATTAACGAGAACTCTCCGCTCGGTAGAGTAAATAGAATGACGTGTTGCTCGAGCGTAACTTCCTCGAGCACATGCTACTCCAATTTCAAATCTATCGGACGTGACTTCGATTTGAATATTTAAATTGATTCGCAAATAACCCTGTCTTTGTGTTTACGCGGTCGCGTGACGCGCCTCTTTGAGTTATAAAACTCTAATTAGATTCGCGTGTCGTCAATGGTGAAGCGACAATTGTTAAAATTCGTAAAATTGTTAGAATTAAAGTTGTCGAGGTTGTTGAAAATTCACACGCAATAAAATGAAGTAAAAAGAAAAAGAAAAAGAAAAAAAGGAGGAAAGTAAAATCAAATCCGTCACACACACACGCACGCGCGCGCGCGCGCGCATAGAAATTTCACGTTACACTCGCGTAAATATTGTCTCAGATAACGTGATTATGACGCGGCTGTCTATTAAACCGGGCAAAATAAATAAATGTACGAGTGGAGCGAACGAATTTCGAGCGGGGCGCCAGCGCGGGCTGCTACGCGAATGTGAAATCGGCGGTGCACGGCGCAGGCGCCGCGAAGCCGCGGCACGCCACGCCGCGACGAACTCACTCGCGCACCGCATCGCACGCCACACACAACACATCAACTAATAACGTGCAGGCTTCGATTTGCAGTTACCGCGAGGGCCACGCGGTCGCCATAGGAAAAGCAACAGCCACTTTTATCGGTTATTACTTGCGGTAGTCGGTGTTGTCGCGCGCGCGAGGGGGGAAAGTGTGTCGTTCGGGAAACTGGAGAGAGAGAAAAAAAGGGAATTTTCGAGGGGAAGGGATTGTTACTCGCGCGACAGAACTGACTCTGAAACAAACTCGCGAGTTTTCCCGCCCAATCTCGGACAGAGGCACACAGAGACAGAGAGACACAGAGTGAGAAGTCGTTGGACTCGAGGCAAAGAGAGAGAGAGAGAGTGTGTGAGAGAATGAAAGAAGCGAAACAACGATTTTGACGTTTTCTTCGCCGCGGTTCGATTTGAACGTGGTCCGCGTGGAGAAATTCCTGTTATGCCATGCCCGGGCTCGTTCGCACGTGACATCGTTGGTAGGACTATTACGGAACGAGATTGTCGTTGATGAGATCGTGCAACTGGTACGTCGAGCGTTTAAGAGCGCAGAGGAAAGAGAAAGAAAAAGAGAAAGGGGGGGAAAAATTGAAGAAGAGAGTGTAACGAATCGCGGCGGACCGTCGTGACGAGAAATGACCGTGCAAGAGTTCAAGCCTCGTGGCGGTGCTGCCGAGGAACAACAGCCGTCCGGCGACATTCTTTCACCGTCTAGCGAGCCATTGGACAACGACAAGGAACAATCGGCCCAGGTCTGTTATCGTGGTGCGCCGCAGGATAGCGAGAATCTATTGGGACGTGTTTTAGCCGGTGAGTAACTGAGTTTTGCATCTTCATCCTCGAGCGCGTGAGCTCTCGTCCAGGAGTCTCTCGTTCGTTGAACGGGGAGGGAAAAAAAAAATATATATATATATATATATGTTTCATCTCGATGCACGCGATATGAAACGAAACGGAGTGAATCGAAACGAAAGGGAGAGTACGTATTTTCCCGCTCTCGTACATGACCGTTCGATTTCGAATCGATCATAGGGTCGCGTGTGCGTATCTGGCGGAGAGTATCATGCCCATCTATCATAGAGGATGGTTAAAAACATTCTTAACCTAGCGTAGATCACGATTCAGGTAGGAAGGAATAGAGAAAGAGGCGGTTTCACTTTCCAGCGGGGTTGGAATGTAGGTCGCGGGGCCCGGGACGAGGCTAGTTCGTTGCCCTCGGTCGGCGGCCTTCCACTCGACGCTCTGGCAATTTCTCTCTCTCTCTCTCTCTCTCT